ACAGCACAATGCAACGTTCTGCAAGGAGGAGGAGGTAGAAACTGAGAGGGAGGCAAAAAATGAAGCATGAAAGACACGGAAAAGAAGGGGGAGGGACATGTGGTCACTTCTGCATAAAAAGAAAAGAACAAGGAAACAAGGAGGGAAGAAAACAGAGGGAAACGATAGTCGGGAGAAAAAAAAAGGTCAACATATTTTTTTCTTTCACCGTCATATTTCCTTGTTTTTAAGAAGTTCAGATATTCCAGATATATCCTCACACTTTCACTTAAAATTTCAGCCATGTTGTCCTAGACTTTTCTTCTATGCTAATGTAGATTTTTCAAGAATATTGAACTGGCAGTCAGTGAAGAGCTGCAAGCTAGTGCTGAGCACTAATTCCATACTGTATATTATTTGTGGATACTTAAGACTAATAAATTTACAGGGACAATTCTCTTTAAATCACTGGAGACTATAAAGTGCTACAACGACCCCACAAGTCCACATCTTTACTTCATTTTATTCTTTTAGTATTTTTCATTTGGGGAAACCTTGTGTTTGTATTTTATATATGTACCTCAACTGAAATGCCCATTATTTCCTGTAAATATTTGCAACATTAACCTTGCATATATGAATTTAGAAATTCTACTACTCCATTTATTTTTCTTCCAGCCTGGTTTTCAAGGGTAATGACATGTTCCTGATATTAACGTTGTCCTTTCACTCGTCAGATCAAGACAAGCTCAAGTATAAAGGGTTTCTTTACCAGTTACTTAACCCACTCTGTAATTCTACACTGTGTGAATTACTGGAGTTCTTCACAAGTGGAGCAATGTGTTTTTGTGGGTGCCCCACCCCTCATTTTGTTTGCACCGTGCACAGGCATGCACATTACGCAACATGCATTGCTCCTGTCAGTACTACTCCCTAGTATGTAGTAAAAAAACAAACAAAAAAAAACACACTACGAGCTGGTTCTACAACTGTTTCAGAAGGGAATATACATTCAGCATGTTTGTCAGGTGTCAAGAACAGTGCATTTTGATGGAAAACTGCTAATCTAGTACACAACCAGTATTGTCATTTGCATCCAATAATGCAGGAAACCCACCTTCTATTTGAAAGATTTTATCTGGTATCTAAAACACACAAGCACAAACACGCTACCTGCCCACTGTGTCAGAGGCAAATATAAGAGAAGACAGCAGTCAAGTGAGTTGTGTATTGTAAATGTTTTTCAATCTTTATTTTCATGTCTACCTCATGGTCAGTTACATAGAAATCCTCCATCTCGTTTTAGTGTAGTAGCTACAGAGCCTAGTGCTGGCCAGCTGTGACTCCGCACACAGCTAAGACTGCTGCTTTCTCTCTCCACCATCAGACCCTGTACAGCTCTCTACAGCCAACCAGCAACATGGCTTCAGAATATCAATAACCCAAATCCCAACCTAGACAGCTGAACCCAACAGGAGTATATTTAATATACTCCAGGAAGTTAATCATGTCCTCCAATCTACCAAACAATATTCTGAAACCATGTTGGGGTTAAAGTGAGGTGAAACAGTCCCGATTTTTGGATAAAACGCACCTCTTAGTGTTCAACTTTTGGTACACGAGGTTAGAGAACATAAAAACACATTTCACATCACGTTTTAATACGTGTCAGAGGACCTTCCCGCTTTGACACCTGTTAACGTTCATTTAAAAACAACAACAAAAAAAATTAACAGTAATGTCACACGTCAGCTTGGTGTGTGTGTGTGTGTATGCGTATATTTTAGTGTGTGAGAGTGTAGGCACACGCCCACAAGAGTGTGTTATGGTCTGATCAGTGCTTCAGCAGACAATAAGGTGGTCAGTTATGCATGTTACTGGCTGTCTTGCAGTGGGAGGAAGGGTGAGGACTGGGAGGGTGAGAGGGAGAGATGTGAGGCTGCAGCGTCTATTCATTCACAAGATTTCTTCACATGATGCGGAGACCTTGGATAGAAGCTTCTAGACTCTGAGGACAAACACAGAAACAAGGGGGAAGAGTTCTTGCTGAAATATCTGGGAAAATAAAACTAAAGAAAACTGTGTGTGTGTGTGTGTGTGTGTATTTACCTTGAAGTCCCAAATGGTCATCGCTCCATCGATGCCTGTGGTGCAGAACTTGCGACAGTCCCTTTTGTCTCCCTCATAGACAGACACTTGGCTAAGGGACAGATGTGGAGATGTGGACAAATTTAAAAGGATGAAGAACTGACTATATTGAAAATGAGAATGATGCATTTCACTATGATCCCACAATGAGTGTGTGATGCAAGGACAAAGTTTTGACCCTTAAGGGAAGTTTTCAGGAAACTCGCTTCTCAGTTTTCTTGTCCAGAGATACTGTAGGTGGTGGTTGTGTGGCATAAAAACTCCAAACACCATATTTTTACCTTGAGTTTTATCTATTGTGCACTGTTGTGAAGTCCCAGTAGAAACCTACAACAAGCAATTTGAGGAAAACTGTAATGGATCCAAATGGTAATGTGCATAAATGACCTCTTCCACCCTCTGTACTGCCACCCTCAGGGAGGTGGGTACAGACATGTATGAGCCACCAGTCTATAGTAAGTCTTTTCGGCCTAATGCAATCAGAATGTTAAATATTTAGTTTCCCGGTTCATGGAAATGTAGTCCTCCCTTTTTAAAAACAACAAAACAAATAATCTCATTATTATCATCACTCTTGGATACTCTTTTTACTTACAACTTTACAAAATAATGTTGTGTATGTCTTAGCACATGTATTGTGTTCTGAACCTAAAGCATAAAGCACAGGGCCCAACTCATGACAAGAACTAAATATTGTAAACACATCTGATTACACTGGGACAAATTAACCAACTGTCAAACTGTAAAAATTGGCATGAAAACTTTTTGAATGACTTTCACCAAATGTAATATTTGATTTAAATCCTATAGCTTTCACCATCTCCAGGGATCTAAACTTAAAATAAAACCCTAGTAAAGGGCTCTTAAGACGAGTTCCAGGTCCTGTCCTGCACCGATTCCTGCTTGTGACCTACGTGATGCTGTTCTGGTGTAGTGTGTCCAGGGCAGTGTTGCGGTCCTCTGTGGTGGCTCTCTTGTCCATGTTCCTGAAGCGCTCCATGGCAGAGATGTTCCTCTGGATACTCTGCTTGGGGAGGTCGAGCTTTGACACAAATGTCAGCGTTCCACCATCGTCGCAACGGAACAGCATGGGGCAACAGTCGTGGCCCTGTTGACAGAGGCAGCACAGTTTAAAAAAAACAAAAAAAAAAACAGCAGTCCTTACTCAATGTATATTTGTGCATGGAAATATATACAAGGGTTTATGCTTCATTCTTACCGCAGCTAATAGACAAATGACACAGAGGAGAGGAAGGAACTCTGTCTTCAGCTGTGAAGGACTAAACACAAACACATTAACTGCAATCTCGAGTCAGCAAGCAGCACACAAATACATTTGGTATGCTGTCATAGAAATCATGGACGTTTTGTGACCAAAACTACAGCTGCTGTGTGCGTGTTTCCAGTCAGAACCTGCTGAAATCATTGCTCTTCACTGACCCCTCAATATCATGTCACCTGTAATTTGTTGACAGGAGCCTGGTATTATGCAAGTGCAGTCTTGAATCTAGTTCACCTGGTGTTTACCTTGAATACCTTACTGGCATGTTCAGCAGATGATCAAATCACTGCTTTTGTACAGTGGCCAATAATACACAGAATACACCAAAATGTAAAGACTGAAACAGAGGTCTCAGCAAAGAAAAATAACTAGCAAAAATGCATCATATTGCATTTTGAACATAATGAAAATGTGGAAAAATATTTTAATGTAATGGCTAACTAATAACAGTTTTTAGAGATGGTCACCATTTGGTGTTAAAATGAACTGCTCCATCTGAACCCCTGTTTGGTTTCATCTCCTTTTCTGTCTTTCGTCACAGTGAGAACCAGTTCTAAACTATGTTTTTACTCGTGTATTGTTTGTTGCAGCTTAACAGCCATCACTTGAGTTGACCTTTGTGTTGTTGGCATTTCCAGCATCTTCACGTTGACTGGCTCCACAGCTTGGTGTGGACAGACACAGCATTCATTCTGATAAATATTCCTACAGTAACAGTAAACGCACTGTAAATGAGACCACTCTGTGCACAGAAATAAATATACCTGGCAGTCTTAGAGCTGTCTACCACAGTGACAGTGCTATCATGGCTAACCCAGGCCAAGCGGTTACCAGAGGCTGAGAAAGAGACTGAGTGGACCCAACCCCCTCCACCTAAGAGACAAAAACAAATTATAAAGAAAAAAAAAGCACAGCTGGTTTAGTTCAAAGGACTCCAAGTTGTACAAAAGAGGATTTTTACTATTAAACGTAAACACAGAGATACAGACCCGCTCCTCCAAATTCTGCTAGCACAGCTCCAAATGGCATCTTGCTGCCCCAGGGTGTGGGGCCTGGTTTCTCTTCCACCTCCTTAATGTAGGCTGAGAACACCCTGGAGGCCAGAGAGGGAGGGGTGGGGAGTGGGGGGTTCAATCATACTCCTCTTTTGTGTCAAAGGACTTTTTTTAAACTTCAATGTTCTAAACACTCACCTGCACTTGAAATCACAGGATCCCGCAGCCAGTAGGACATTGTTGGGATGCCAGTCCAGACTGAGGATAGTGGAGCGGATTGGCTTCTTGATGTGCTTGCTGACCCACCTGAAGGACACACAGACACATTTTTATTATGGGGGGGACGACAACAACAAAACAAAACAAAATGCATGCACTCCTATTTATACGTTTCAAAAACAACAACTTGTGAGAGTAGCTCAACAAAACGGAGGCATTTGTTTCATTTTCTCCACCTCTGAAATTCCGGCGGTGACATATCAAACATTTATATTAAAAACCATAAACATGTTTAACCAAAACATCCATGTGACCAAAATCAAAACTGAAGACAAAGCACAACTGTCACATGACAGACATGGGGACTTGTTGCATACAAAAAAACCATTTGGAAATTATGTGGCAGTGAAACCGAACACACTGGGACAGTTCAGGGGCAAAAAAAAAAAAATCTTTTGAATCTGGAAGTGGCCAAAATAACTGAAACCAATCGTTTCCTCAGTGAGTTTCTTCCACCTCTCCTACTGAAATTTTGGACCACTCCTCTTTTGCTAACTGCTCCAGGTCTGTCAGATTTGAAGGGCTCCTTCTCCCAGCTGCTGTTTTGAGATCACTACACAGGTGTGAGATTTTGATCTGGACTCACTGCTGCCCACTTCAGAACTCTCCAGGACATTGTCTGAAACCACTGTCCTGTTTTAAGACCCATGACCTCTGACAGAGACCCAACTTTCTGACACTGTGCCCCAGAATTGGTTGGGAGTCTTCAGATTTCATAATGCCATACACACAGTCAAGACATCCAGTGCCTGAAGTAGCAAAGCAAGCTCAAAACATCAGTGAACCCACACCTTGTGTCAGCAGAATGGGACGGACGTGAGGTCACAATGACCCTGACCTTTGACCGTTTACCACCAAAATGTAACCAGTTCATGCTTGAGCTCAAGCGGTTTGTGCTAAACCTGAAGAAATCCCTGAGACATCATGTTTACAAGAATGGAAAAGAAGAACAACCCAAAAACACAGCATCTCCGGCCACGGCTGTCAAGAACATCTGATAAAACATATATTCAGAAATATCATTCTGGCCATAATCTACTATCTATTACTATATTCGGTTTCAGCAGATATAATATCTGATAATACTAATAATCTCACCAGTCATTCTCAGACTCAAAGTAGCAGACAGAGATGAGTCTAGCCCCACTGCCAACTGCGAACTTGTTCTCCAGTGGAGACCACTTGACAAAGGTGGCAGCTCGGTTGATCCTGAGGATGACCAGTGTTGGCTTCCATACCCCCTCCTTCTGGGACCACACATAGGCATTACGGTCTGCTCCACATGTCACTATACGGTCACTTTTGGGAGCCCAGTCAATACCTACAGCACAACAAAGAAACAACGAGAAACTGTTATTTAGAGCTGCAACAATTTCTCAAGATCAAATTAATCAACTATTTTGACTGTTGTTAAATTGTTTGGCATTTTTAAAGCAAAAATCCTAAACATTCAGTGGTTCTAACATCTCACACGAGAAGATTTATTGCATCGGACAGTAAACCGAACTAGGTTTTGGACTGTTGGTCGAATAAAACAAGCAATGTGAATAGTCTACATCTCCTTGGACTGAGGAAAAATATAACAAACATTTTTCACTATGTTCTAACATACTGAAGACAAACGAGCCAATCGAGAAAATAGTGTCAAATAATCAGCAGTGAAAATAATCATTAGTTGTGAGCCTACTATAGCAACAAGCACGATGAAGTGAATAATGGTACACTCGTGTGGAATGATCTCACACATTTCGATAATTCAAGTTCAGATGTGTATCAATTGTATCTGTGTTAATACAAGTTGCACAACCAATTATTTTGTTTGTGTATATGTTAGTCATGGAAACAACTGCCTTCATCTGTTATTAGGAGTGTGACAACATCTCACAATATTAAAATGTGACGATATTTATTGTCGAAGTTAAAGCTGTCTTGAGATATTAGTACATAAAACCAGAGCAATAGCCAGCATGATGAAGTGTGAGGGTGAAATTAGCATAAACGATGTCCCGCCACTTTATGTTCAATTTATGGAAAGAAGTTCAGTTAGGTCACACACAGCTCAGTGCTTCCCATACACTGACTTATTTGTGGTGGGTCGCCATAGTATCATCTTTGACTGCCAAATATTAATTTAAAATAGGTTAAATCTTATTTCACTGTAGTGCTGTGCATGCACACGTATTTACTGTCCCTCCGTGCCCTGCTCTGTTCTCTCTCTTACACACACAAACACATGGATAGTTTGTGAACAGCTCCCCCTCTTCATGCTTGTTTTTTTTTTTAAACACAAAGCTGTCAGTCTCAGAAATCCAACTCTTCTAATATGTAATTAGCAAGCTAATAAGGCTAGCTAAGCTAATATTAGAATACAGCTATTGCCGAGGTTAACACGCTGTATATAGCATGGATGTATATGGACTGCTCTATAAGTTAATGCCACTTCATAAACTCTGACGCTGAATGTTTGCTCCCTCCGTCCAGGGGAATATCGAAAAACACCTGTGGGAAAGCGGATCAGTCTGATTAGCAATTTAACTGATTTGTTTTGAATCTATTTGTTTCAACCAGTGTTGCTGAAGCAGCAGGAGAGGGTCAGGAAGAGATGGCTGGAAAGAGATGTAGGAGGAGAGTAGCTGCCAACATGCTGCTGCTGCGGGAGAACTAGTGCAGAAGGGGCAGGTCAGATGAACTGCACAACAGCACTATAGCATTGCTATATTTAATTTTAAACAATTATGAAAGCATGACTCCCCTACCCCTGAGATGCTGCCACATTTAGAATGTATTTCTGTGGGAAACACTGCAGCTTCAGGTAGAAGTTAGAAGCACATTTCAAAATGCACCTGCACTGTTTTGCATTTTTGACATTCAGTCTAATAAAAGACTTTTTCTGTCCAAATTTTGTAACTGAATATTTCTTAAAAATAGTGTTAAAATATCATCTGATCTTGTGTTTTAAATACATCATCACACCCCTACCTGTTATATGTCCATTGTGCTCCTTCAGCTCATGGGTCTTGACCCACTGGTTGCCGCTCTTCTTGTAGATATGCACTTCATGGTTATTAGGACTGATGGCAACTTCTGTAGAAGCAATGTGAAAACAGAAAATGAACACAGGTGACAAACAAGCTAGACCAGTTTCTGGTAAGTTCCAAATTCCAAGCTGGGTCACTCAGTGTAAATGCCAACATATCTTACAGAACAAAATGTCCACAACTTTCTTTGGGTGAAATTAATCACCTAGTCGTGCACAAGTTGTCACATTCAAAAAAAAAGGACGAGATATTTGAGCCTTACGTGTCCTGTCGCGGTTCCATGCGTGGCAGGTGATGGGTTCCACCAGAAACTGATGAAGAGACATCTTGTCTGGGTGCGGTCCTAAGGTGGAACTCTGCGAAGACAAACAGCCAAATAACTTAGATTAGTACAGCGACAAATAAATCCTGGGCGATCAGCCGAACTGAACTTTGCCTCTATCGGCTTTTAAAACCCCACAGATAACCGCGTGCACAAAAAAGTCAGATTCATTACTTCCCAAATGGTAAAACCAGTTAAATGTTAACTTTACTGTAACCTTACAAAGAGCTGCATTAGCCTGGTTACATAGCTACCTAATCAGACAACACACTTTAAGGCTGCTTCTAACAACTTAGCCAAAGACGTTAGCTTAAATAATATAATCAAGCTATCATTTGTCAGCTCGTTAACTGTCGCCAGTTTCAATATTTAGCTATGGCATGGCAATTTAAACACTTTTATGAACTGAGAACTCACTTTCTAGTTAGCACTTATAATACCGACTAGCTTAACGTCAGTTGCTTTTAAGTCGTTAATGCTAACAAAATATTACTAACGCTAAGGCTCCGAGTAGGCTAATCAAGCTGCTAGCTCACCGGTGTTACTTAGGCCTGACGGCCAGATTTATCATTGCAAAGGGGGAAAGAAAATACTACCGTGTTGCTTCCCACGCGTTAAAAAAGGCCTCGCTTCCCTATATTAGACCCCGATTTCTACTCAGAGGAGATGCCTTTACTCCCGGTGAAAGCTACACCATTAGCCGTAACGTTACATGCCATTAGCCTGTATGTTAACTTACCTCGGCAGTCCGGTTCTGCGAGTATTCACTCTCGTTAGCCGGCGAGTTCACTTAACCTAGCGGGGAAAGGTTAGATCGGGAGTGGACCTGAATTCGCGGACTCTGGTCAGTCGACACGAATTCGTCCAGGACGTTGAGGGAATGTCAAGACGACCAGCAGGATACGACCAGGCGCATCTGGTAGCTAACTCAGCAGCAAAACCCGTGGATGCCTGACCGCCAGCTAGCTTAGCATCATCACGCTAGCACTTGCATTCAACTGAATAACCTCGTTCACGTCGAAGTCTCTCACACAAACTAACGTTACGAACGAGTAGGAAATAGCTCCTCTGGTGGTTCAAATAGAAATATCCAAACTGGTCTTACTGCTTACAGAACACCACCATCTAGCGCATGGCTTAAACAAAACGCCAACACGGCTATGGGCGCTCCACGATGTTGAACTGACTAGGGGGAGAGGTCTTTCCTAACCAAGGCTAAGTCACAAATCGGGAGAGATGTTGGCTGCTCCAGCCACCTGGGACCCAAAACCATGGCTGGATTGTAGGCGCCTGCTCCGGGGGCCCCATAAGCCCCAGTCATTTGGCTCTACATGATTTGATTAGAAGATTATTTGTTAAAAAATGACACCCCTAAAGTACAATATCATCCATGTCTGGTCCTCCTTCTTATGACCCTTCTCTTGTAGAGGGATTCTGTGTCAAAATTATCTAGAGACGTGACTTTTTTTTATTGAAAATTTGTTTTTGCAATGTAAACGTGTCTTTCTGTTCCACTTTTGTTGATAACAGGACATTTCAACCTTTTAAAATCCCACAAAATGAAAGAGAATTGGAGGCATGTAATGAAATGAAGTTGCATTACAAACATATTTTTACAGCAGCAAAATGAAACAAGAAGGCTGTATGGTGAAACTTTGGGGCAACTTTTAAAGAGAGATAAATACTTTGTCCCATGGGGGAAATGTGTCCTAGGTGATCAAGTTGCATGTTTCCAGAGAAGCATACATGTTAGGTTAAAACACAGTAGTTAAAAAAGAAAGATAGAGAGATACATCAAATCAAATAAGACACAGTAATATACAATCAGAATAAGTAAGATTAGGTGCACACGGCACAATATACACTGGACTAGTTTTCATGTAACTTATGTTTGGAAACCTTTTACATTCAAAAGTCTTACAGATTCAGGGACAAATGAGTGTTTGAATTTTAAGAAAAGGTAGCCTTTCTCCCTTATTTTTAGTAGATTAGCCAGCCATTGATTTAGGGCTTAGAGATTCTTTAACCAATCAGAGGAGATTTCAATGAATTGCACCTGGCAAGCCTGCAGATGAACAGCTGCTGGCTGCAAATATTAAAGCACATTTAGTGGGGTGCTTTCTTTTTTGTGGCACATCATCTAACCAGGTAAATGGAGTCGTTATCAAAAGTGGATGATTCAGTTTCTACACCGCCGCCTTTCTTCCTACCAGGTAAAACACCCTCTCATCATACTTGGTTTGCAGAACTTGAAATAGTTTTATAAAAGCGTGCTTTTATTTTTCCAATGAAAGTCAAATAGGACAAGATGTGAGGATTTATTGTATGCACCCAGCCCTCGCCTAAATCTCTTTCCTTCTCCTCTTCCGCAGGAGTTGGCTGCTCCACTCAAACACACTCCCCTCTACCTGGTACATGCTTACTTAAACACTGCCTCCATTTTGAATACAGTATGTAGAGTAGGCCTGAATGCCATTTTCTTTGTACACACCTTAGTGATATGCTCTGCCTTAAAGTCAAGTGCTGATTTTCAGTGGCAGTGAAATGTGCATTGTTTTTCAGTCCCCACTATCTTCTGTTTAGGGTCAGATCCCCCTCCACCTACCCCAAGGCTGACATTTGTAAACTATGAGACCACGCTGTATCGCTCACCAGCTCTGACAACATGCCATTCCTGTCAGACTCAGGTCACCACGCAGGTCACCTACCGAGCAGGGACCTATGCGTGGCTCATGTGCCTTGTGTTTTTGTTTTGCGGGTGAGGACAGACCCATTCAAACACCTCAAACTAATTATTACCAGCATTAATTGCATTCACATACAAATCAAAAGATGCTGACTAACGAATGATCACTCTCTCACAGGTTGTTGTGTGGATGCTGTCTGATTCCATTTTTTATAAAGTGCTTCAAGGATGTCTATCACACTTGCCCTCGCTGTCGAATGGTTCTTTATGTACACAGGCGAACATGCTGTGAATGAAGGAACTCAGATTTAACCACTGCAGCCCCCAACAGAAGTTTGACCGCTGGACAAAAATGCATGTTTATCAAAGTCAATCAGGATAACATAGATTTGTTTCAATGTATAATATATGTAAGGAGATGTCAACAGAATTAGAATGTATAAAATTTAAATTGTTTTGTAAAAATCAAATAAATTTTCTGTGCCACTGAGTGAATGGGAAAGTGTGTCTGAAGTTTTGACTGTCAGTGCACAAAGTGTGTACATTTTGCTCCAAATAAAATACAGTACCTGCGTTTATTCACTTGCAACATGCACTTTTTCAAGGGTTTTATTCTTCTAAGACCATAAAATGCCATCAGATGCAGCTGAATGCAGTCATCAAAGCTGTTGCCATAGAGCTTTATTCAAGGTCAAAAATTAACTTTTATGCTTAAGTTGGACTTGGATTCCACAGGTTTTACCACTACAGTGCTATTTGCACAGATACTGATCCACACACCATTTTCTAGTCATTAATACAGCCTGTCTGGATTAAGCCTGCATGTGTACAGTACGTTTGCTGTGTGTAGTAAATGTGCCCTCATTGAAAACACCAGGGGATTAGAAATTTTTTTTTTTTTTTTAAACCAACAGAGAATTTTGGCAAGTTCAGGAAAGGCCCTGAGGGGAAATAGAACTGACCCTAAATCACATTTTTAAAAACAAGTCTTGCAGTGTATTGGGCACACAATTCACTGCAAGAGCAACAAATCTGAGAAAATATTTATTCAATCATCTGCTTAATTTTCCAACAAGGTGAAATGGCTGTGCAAAACAGTGTTGGTAGTTTTTTTTTTTGGCAAATTGTAATTTCACCTGTTTACATGCGTGCACAAGGCAGAGACCATCTGTAATGCACTTGAAAAGAAATCTGCCCTGTTGCTCAGACACAGATCTTTGGTTCAATGTCTCCTCAGGTGGAAACCTGGGTAATCCTCCTCAGTCACATTATCCCCTACATGCTTTGCAGACCTGTGTTTAATTTGCATACATGCTGGTAAATGAAAGATGTTTAAAATATATTTCATATAAATTTGCTCTCATTTAAGAAGATGGTTGATCTCAAACCTCTTCATTCCCACAGACTGGGTGGATAGTCGTTAGGCACTGATGCTGTGCAGCACAGACCTTTAGTTTCAACCTAAAAGTGACATATAAAAAAATCAAGGGGGGAAACTGATACTTGCTGTATGTTCTGTGTGCATCTTTTTCACTGTTATATGATTAGATTTTAAAGCATCTGTACAGTTTACACCCAGACTTTGCACATAGTTCCCTCATATGTTTTTTTTTGTAAAACTTGCAAAAAGCCTTTAACAAAAAAGCAAAAATGTCATTGTTTCTGCACAGTGCAAATAAAGAGGAAACATTATTATGCATTGACTATTCAATATTTTATACCAGGAAGAATGAAAACTGTGGATACTGGTCATCTTTCCTTTACTATAGCTAAAGCTGTCTCCTGCGCCGTAAGTAGCTTAGATGTCTCTACCTGTTCATTCCTTTGTGCACAGATTGTGTTTAGTGGCAACTTATCTTCCTGGGAGTCAAATGTTAAAACACGCATGTTTGTGTATGTGTGAAAGCATGAATGAGAGAAGGATTATGTGTGGAATCTTAAACTAATGTTTACACAAAGCTTATTTTGTCTTGTGCACACAAAATAATAGCTTTCCAATATTTTCTTCTTTTTGTTAAACAAGAATACAGGGTTGGTGGATACACAAACAAGTGGGAGTCATTTCCAGCGGTTGATTCTCCGCAGTTGCACGTATGCCAGGATCATGGCGATAACTATGATTCCCAGCAGAGCCACATGGTTCTGCCAGAAGCCCCACACAGAGTAGTCGATGACCTGCCTTTCCAGAAGCAGCTCTCCTGTGATACTGCAGCACAGACAAGCGAAACTCAGTGTGTGTGTGTGTGTGTGTGTGTTGGGGGGTTGATGTGTTTTAAAAAGTGGCTATGTTATCACACTCACATGGTGCCATTGCTGTAGAACACCTGTCCTTTCAATTCGTTGATGAATGCAGCCTGAGAGAACACAGGAGATTAGGCCAGTCAAACTGTGTCCTGCTGATCCCAGACACATCCTTCTGCTCATGCTTTATTTTATATATCTTACATTTAGCCCATATCTGAAGATGCTGATCCATTTCAGCCAGGAAAGCCAGTTCAGCATGGTATTGAGATTGACAAGAAAACCACCAAAAACCTAAAACAGAAGGAAGAAAACTGTACTGTACACTAGCAAAAGTGAGACTACATATTACCATATATTAATTACAGCAGCGGATACTGTATATGATATAAGGTACGTCTTTCTCACCATCATAAAGACAAAGGGTAGAGCAATGAGAATATTAGCCATGGCAAATGAGGAAACACTCGCTGAGATGAGGAAGGCCAGACTGACTGCTGCCAGACTGACCAGAGACATGGTCAGAGCAAAACACAGGAAGGCCTCAAAGGCAGGCTTCAACCCTGAAGGAGCGGTAATGAGAAAACAAGAATGAGCATTTCAATACACTCAAGGGTGCTGCTTTCAGCAACCTCCTCCTGGTGGGGTCAGATGTGGTGTTATGGTGAAAAGAAAAGCGATCACACTGTCATCTAGATTTCATTTCTCAAAACCTGAGCCTCTTTGCGATAAAACCAAGCTTGTGCTAAGAGCAGATCAAGTACAATAGTCATATACTGTAAATAAACACCACTTGTCAAGGCAGTCTCTTTATGTGCATGATGTGGTGTGTTGCTGTTTTTGTAACAGTAAATTACCCATCATATAGTAGGCGATGGATGAAAAAACAAAGATGGGGATGATGCGGTTGGGAATTAGATCAGCAAAGACCTTGGACAGGAAGTAGACAGATGTGCGGTAGTAGCCACTGGAGGTCTC